TCGATCACGCTCCAGAAGAAATAGTCAAGGGGATTGCAGTCGTTTGAGGAAGGTGGCTACAATCCGGCGACCAGTGCTAAGGAACATCGTTGAGCCGCCACGCCTGGGTCGTCTTGGCCTTGTGTGCAGGAGCGGGGTACTGCTGGAAGATGTAGAGGCGTACGGTCGTGATCTCCTCCATCAAGGGCTTCATCACGCTCCACAACACCTCCTGGTAGACATCAGCGTTGACTCTCAGACCCTTTTGAAAGAAGAACGGGGTGCATAACGTCCTCCCTCGCTGGAGATGACCCCAAGAAACATGACTGAGGAGGGAAACTTTATATGCTTCTGCACGGGAACCTCCCCGATGTATTTGCAGATCCACCTCTCATTCTACCTGTTGCTCGTCTGGTTCTGGATGTAATTCTTTTCATCAGAGAAGAACCTCATTATCCCGGCGGACCCTTGCTTGAGCTCGATCAGCAAAGCTGTCGCCTTGACCTCCCTCGATTGCTTGGAGGCATTCTTGATGAGTATGTGTTGTGACTTGCGGTAGGAGGAGTAACCAATGTCCTTGTTGAACGTTTGGCAGACCGTCGACTTGTGACAGCCCATGTCAGCGGCGATCTTGGCGTAGCTCTGGCTTCCATCATTGTCGACTGTCTCCTTGACGGCGGCGACGAACTCGTCGGTCCTAACGAAGGTTGCGGGACTTTGGTTTGGCAGTAAACTCGTCCTTGTTTCCACACGCCTTCCACTTCCTCCAAATGTCCATGACCATTCTCCTCTTGAACCCAAACCAGGCCATCGCTTCCGCAGGCTTCTTCCCGACGCGAAAAGATCTCCTACCACTGCTCTGCGCTCATATTCCATACTAGAAAATGTTAGAGAGAAAAACGTTAGTTAGTTGTCAAACTGTCGGGTCTCTGCATATACAACTTTTGTTTTTATTGCCTATTTCGTTTTCTTTTTGTCAAGTGTCGGATTTTGCTGCAACACCCTTTATATCCTCTACAAACCGAATATTTGTGATGGATGTTTTGACCTTTGTGTTCTGCTGTTGCTCAAGAGCGTCATTTATGAAACGTTCAATGTTGATGTTAAATAATATAATGTAAGGAAGGCATCATTGGAATTTGTCGAAGCACTTTCCTTGGCGGCCATGCATACGAAAAAAGAAATTTAATTGAAAACATTTTATGGTTAAAAAAATTAAAAATTCTACCTAAATTCTCGAGATTTGCGCATTCATTTTAAGTTCAATATTCTTATTTCAATTGATATTTTTTTCGCTTTAGCGAATGAAATTCGCTTACATAAAACCAGAACGAGGCTCTTGAAAACTATGGGTTTCATAATACGAAATCTTGAAATATTTAACATTTACAGTGAAGGTTAAGTGGACCAATAAAAACAAAGAGTCACTTACATTATGAGCTTGTATAAATTGATGGTGTAACTGGAAGGGGGAGTAAAAGAAAACAAAACTCCTAAAAGATGTTGGGGGGGATACATGATCTCTCACATCCTGAATTGACATGCCATACAAAAACAATGACTTACAATGATTATATCCAATGACCAAAATTATGGATTCCTCAGTGGTGACTGAACTGTTTTTGTAAAAAATGTTCACTAAGAAGAGATGTTATTTTAACATTTTTATTTGCTTACTTTTTTATATAAATATTCCATATGTTCATTTTATAGATTGAATCATATACTACAAAATGATCCGATAATTATTTAATATATTTTATTGATAGCAATAAAAAAGCAGTAAAATCGACTTTGCTAACCAGACATTCCTTCGTAGCTAAACTGGTAGAGCACGTCATGATATGTGACGATTCCGTGTAGGATGCAGGTTCGATTGCTGTCGGAGGACGCATATTTTCTATAAAATTTCTTGGTCGTTCAGGATGGTAAATGTTGTTAATACTGTTTATTATAAACAGATCATTTACTTACCTATTTGTGTATAACGTACACTTTTTACATTTTTCCGCAACGACACATGGTGCACTGGATAAAGGCGTTAGTTTGATCAAGTGACAGAACCCAAAGAGTTGTGAGTTCAATACCTGATTAAGGCACTGGAGAACTTGGAGAGGGGAATTAAAAGGAGATAACTGATAACTGACATCCATTAGGCATGGCACATGGAACTAGAACAGTCTACAGCAGCGAGCGAAATAAAAGGTTCAGTTCGACATTCTAATCACTTGAAGAAAACCGGAGCGGAGATCGGCCGAAATATTGTGATAATTAGTTCAACAGAAATGAGGACAATAGTCTGAATAATGTAAATATTGTACATAATACCTCACCTCAGTAATATAGACAGATATAAATAACGTACAACAATAAAATATATTGAATGCTACATATGATTTTGATGATATGAGATTGAAAATTAATGTTTCCGCGTATTAATAAACGAATTCTCTTACTCACTTGTCTTGGTAAGAATACAAAAATCGACTTTCTATGGGTGTGTCTATTTTTTTGCCTCGTAGACACATTTTAAGCATTTATATTCGCCAGTTATGAGCGTTTAAAGCCTGCAAGTAAAATCCGCCAGTGTTCAATATTTTAACCCGGTCCCGTTGTTATAATGCATCAGAACAGAAACTAGTGATATTAAATATATTGTCTTAAAACTGCAAGATTTATCAATACAGATTATGCATATACATCACGCACACATATCTGAATATGGACACTGGAGAAAATTTAACAACTGTGTTAGCATTTTATACACCCTTGTGCAAATTTATTGAAACAGCCGCTTTACTTCCCTTTCTTTTATATTACAGTCAGTTTTAGACCCACTGGAGTGACAGGGTGTAATCAATTTCTATTTTTTCTCAAATTAGGTCATTTGAAGTGGCGTACAGTAATATAAATCTATTTTCGGGGTGTATGATGAAATTTATTTGCCTTTGAAAAATATTGCGTCATCCGCGATTGCATCAGATTTTTATCACGCCCAGAACTATTGTCTTGACTGTCAATTAGTTGTCCTACAGCCATTGTCTGCGATGGACGTTACTCCAATAAAGCGTACTAAAATTGTAACGCTGCACGAACACACTGTCAAGCCTTACCAGTGAGCAAATCAAAGTACTATAGACTGGCAGAGAAACCTGATTTAAATCCAGTTGAGAATCTGTGGTCAATCTTCAAGGAACGACTTCGTGGAATGAACATAATAATATGTTACTAATAAGTACTAATATGTTCACTGAGTTATGTTTCATTGGAAAAATACAAAAAAAATATAATTACAGAATTATTCATTTTCTTTCAATTAATTAACACAAGGGCGCCTTTATTGAAAATATATTCTTTATTCAAAGAGCAGGGAGATTTTTATGGCTTCATAATCAATGAAATGCGGCCATAATTGTATCTATCCACACATGTTATTATATATAAACAATACAAACATACGACTTTTTATTTATAATAAAACTATGTGCCGTGCTTTTTCTGGCCGTAGACGATCATGTTTCTCCACAATTTCCTCTGTTTTGTAGCTCTTTAAGTCTTATATATTCTCCAAGCCTTCCAATCCTTGTTCTGTCATACATTAATATAAGATAGTTAGGTAGATTGGTAACTCTCTTTCTCTGTCTCTCTTGGTATCACTGAAGTTAAGCGACGATGTGCCTTGTCAGTACTTAGATGGGTGACCGCTTTGGAAGTCCAGGTGCAATAAGGTTGGATATGCCAGTGATGTAATGGATAACAGCTCATAAACGGAAATCGGAGAGCCGAGTTTTAAATTCAGTTGGTTCGTTTTAGTCAACTACGCTCAAATACACTTGGGAAAAGGTACCACGTCTCTCAGTTAAAGGTTAATTAGCAGAATTTGTATCAGTAAATCATCATTATCTAACAAAAATATCTTATGATCTAAAAATATTTTCTGGCTTCAAATAATCTGCAAAAGATTAATCAACTGTAAGAAAATAATGCAATCAACCAATCATTGTTATCAGTATGTCCTGTGATTGTCAAATTCTTCGAACCCTTTTTCCTTACTATTTGCCGTCTTTCTGTTATACTAGAACATTACCTATTCTATTGTAATAGACTCTCCCACACATAATAAGTAGTAGTCGTAGTAGAAGTCGCAAGTTGGGCTCAGTGGAGTTGAGTGAGTCAGTTGATGTCGGACACTGAAGTATCAACCAACCCAACTAGATTGCTGCGTCATTAACTATTATTTGCAAGTTCCTAACGTTTTGTACGTCAGACCCTTTTAGGACCGACCTATTGAAATACAAGCCTCCACAGTGAAAACTACTCTACAACACTTTCCTAATTATGTATCCTAGAAAATGCAACTACCTCTTCCTGATTCTAAGTATTAGCTTTTTTATGTTTCGCTTAACTTAAAATACCAGATGCTGTGAGCTTGTATGTGTGGGTGGTGTAATGGATAATCGCTCGAAATTTTTAACCTTAGAGACTAGTTCCAATTTCACTAACGTTCATTGTATTCACATACGTGCAAAACCATTGAGAAAGGTATGATCCCGCCTCTTTCCTCCATCTATGTGTTAATTAGTAAGGCTTCTATCACTAAAACATTATTATATACAAAAAGAAGAAATTCTTATAATCTAAAAATATTTTCTGGCTTTAATTAAACTGCAAAGTCTTGATAAACCGTAAAAAAATAATTGTTTTCCTTAAAACTATTCTCTACGGACACATGATATTCATGACCATCGTATTTTCAGCGTCTTTCTTCCGAACCACGTTTATGATGTCTGAAGTTGCTTTTTTATCTGTGAGAAATTGTCCAAAATTCACTACCATAGTGTCTTATATATTATGTCATATTAATAAAATTATTATTAAAAAGACAATAAGTAGATATATAGTGGCCTCAGTGATATATTACAGGAACTTTAACACCTATCATTATTAATAACTTGTCTATTGGGTGCCAAGTTTAATGATGCAAACACATCCCAACTTAATTTTTATTCTTTATAAATAAATCATAAGGATATAAACCATTGAACATACAAGTGATGAACACAATATCAAATATACCTGAATAAATCTTTGATATTTCAGATTGTATCCCCGCATTATATAACATTCAACAGTATTTCATTTATTGGTTATAATTCCTACGATTTGGGCATTATTTATAGCATTTTTATTGAAACAAATTGTTGGTCTTTGCTTGAGTATAGATTTCCATAGCATCCTCCTATTAATCTCATTTAATAACGGGTTGTCGGAGTTATCTCCTCCTTAATTTCTTAATTTTCCAAACCGTTAGTTGGGAACGTTCTCCAGTTTTATAAATACTTGGCGATATCTTCCCTTGTCTCCTTTTCTCTTTTCATTTTTTAGCTGACGATACCATGTAATGCTCGTGGAAGAATTTGCGTTTTTCATTTCGGGGGAATCACCATGAAACCTTCATGCACACACATACACACACACACACACTCACATACGTACGAACATTCATTTACGCATAGTTTCACCACAAACTTACGCCGTTCATTCATACACACTGATTACATCTTCGTCAATTGTAACCCTTATATACATATACCTGTTTGTATATATATATATATATAGATAGATAGATAGATATAAATATATATATATATATATATATATTGAAGACAGTCTAGAGACATTCAAATTTATATCAAACATTGCAATCTTTATGAACCCCCAAAATAACACTTTCAAAGTAAGACAAAATAACAGCGTCAGTTTCTAGCCTTTTTTCAAAGAAAATTAGTGACACCTTATCTCATAACTTCCTTCTCTCTTTTTATCTCTATGGGTTTTTTCTTCTCTACCCCTTCGATATCAATGTATAACTTCCG